AGACTCCGTCTCAAAAAAAAAAAAAAAAAAAAAAAAAAAAAGGAAGAAAAAGAAGGTGTTGGGTGGATAGAGCTACTAAAAAAAAAAAAAAAAAAAAAAAAAGGAAGAAAAAGAAGGCTACTGCAGTACTCCTGACCAGAGACGATGGCAACACCAAGTTTTTGGCCTAAGCAGCTAGAGGATAGAGCTGTCATTAACCCAGATGGGGAAGACTACAGGAGCTATTGAGTTGAAGAGGAGAGGACAAAATTTTAGGAGCTCATTATTGGACACGTTGAGTTTGAGATGCTGATTAAGTAACCCAAGTGTTAATGTCAAGTAGGTAGCTGCATTTGCCAATCTGGATTTCCAGGAGAAATCTGGACTGGTGATATACATGTGGGAGTTGTCAGCATGTGGATAATATTAAACTCCACACATTGGAAAAGACCACCTAAAAACTGAAAATAGATTTAAAAAGAGAGAGAGAGGGAGAGAAGACGTGCCTATCACACAGGGTTGCTGGGTCCCTCCAACAGTATATGCAGGAAAGCCCAAGACACACATAGTGTAGGCGCTTGCTATCCACCTCAATAAATTCAGTTTTCTATAGTATTGAAATCACCTTTTCACCTATGTAGCTGGCAGAGTTAAGTATTATAGGCTTACCTCTTCAGAGTAAAATAAAACATCGTAGACATCCATAATTAATGAGGAAAGTGGGCTCTTATCTTTGAATGTTTTTAGTGAAAACTATGGCTACAAGATCAGAATGATGTTTTTAAAATCCTTAGGGATAGGCCAAAACTAATGGACTTAAGTAAGAGGAATAATTCCTTTGACTGTTGAATCAGGAGGCTAAAAAGAAACATTATTATTGCGCAAAAGTCTTGCATAGAATAATCCAATGACACTTTACTAACAACCCCACCCTTATCAACAATGTGTGCTCTCCAAGCCAATCCTCATAAATTAGCAAAGTCAGGTTTTCTTTCTGCAAGAATAGTTACAACGCTCAATTTGTTCCCAAAAATTGTTAAGGGAATATGAAGCTACTCATCATTATTATTGGATTAAAAAAGAGAGAAATATTTCCTGACAAATCACTCCTGAGTATTTGAATTGTGACTAACACTGGAATCTGGTATAATAATCTTCCCAGAATTACAAAGGAAGTATGTATGAGTTTAAGGGACCTAGAGAAATGTACGATTTGCCAACTACAGAAGTCTAGGGAGGTGAAAAAATGATTGCCAGGAAATAATGGATTGTACAGCACTAATGAATTCTAATGAAATAATAACAAATCTAATCTTACTCCATGTTTACCCAATTTTTCAAATATTAATTGGCCCAGTAGGGAGAGGTTAACTCAAAATAAATTAACCCAGAATAGGTTGGAAACGTGAAACAAGGACAGAGCCAAATGAAATGAATGCCATAAAAACTGTGTACATAAAGACCAAAGGAGTCCAAATCGGTACACTTTTCACTTCCATCTCTCACACCTAGATAAGCTGAACATTTGCAGGAGCATCATGTCTTACTCTTCCCGTGTCTGCTCCTCCAGGGCTGGAGGCAGCAGCTTGGCCAGGCTGTCTGCTGGTGGAAGCAGCTTCAGCAGTAGAGGCAGATGTGGTCTGGGGGGCGGCACTGTCCAGGGCTTCCAAAGAGGAGCCGGCAGCTATGGCCTGAGTGGGGAGGCCTAGTAGTGGCTTTGGAGGTAGCTTTAGTGGGGGATTTGATAACCGCTCTGTAGGAGGTGGTCCTAGCTTCAGCAGGATCTCTGGATTCTGCGGGAGTTCTGGATTAGGTGGTGGTGCTAGTGGAGGCTTCTGCAGTATGGCAGTTGTACGGGAGGTGGTGGTGGCAACGGAGGGCTTTTTCCTGGAGGGGAGAAGCAAACCATGCAGAACCTCGGTGACGGCCTAGCCAATTACCTAGACAATGTCAGAGCCCTGGAGGAGGCCAACACAAAATCAAGAAGTGGTGTGACAAATTTGGGCCTGGGTCTGGAGACGGTGGATCTAGAAGAGATTGCAGTAAATACTATCCAATAATTGAAGATCCCAGGAACCAGGTGAGAAACTCAGTGACGGTACCTCTTTTGTACTTATTTATTAAATTTTAGGACAATATGAAATTGTTCTTTTATTTTTTGCTCAATTGTTCCATGCAGAATGTTTCAGATATATATTTGGTAAAAAGAGAGAGAAAAGAAACAAGAAACGTTCCATGATGTCACTCTAGATTTATTTAGAATGTAATTCACACTGGACATTAGTTACTAAAAAATTTTTCTAGATCCGGCCACTGCACTCCAGCTTGGGCAACAGAGCGAGACTCCGTCTCAAAAAAAAAAAAAAAAAAAAAAAATTTCTGCAACTGTATCTTGACAGTCAAAGGTAAATCAGTAATGACATGTTACTCATTAAAATGTTCATTAGTTTTACTGCGTCTCCTAGATCATTGCAGCCACGATTAATAATGCCAGCATGACTTCCCCAATTGACAAAGCTGGACTTGCAGCAGATGACTTCAAAATGAAGTGAGTTTGTTTCAAAATATCAATTGTTACCATGACAAAAAATAAGACTTACGTTTTTACTTTTAACATAAAATGTATATAAAGGCAATTAGATCCAAGTACCAGATAACTATATTAGTATAAAATATCTATACTGAAGGAAAAAAGGCCAATTTTAATGTGTATTTAATGACAAGAGATTCCAAAATTGGAATTTTGAAAAATGATTTCAGGCCAGGCAGGGTAGCTCACGCCTGTAATCCCAGCACTTTGGGAGGCTGAAGAGGATGGATCACCTGAGGTCAGGAGGTCACCTGAGACCAGTCTGGCCAACATGGTGAAACCTCATCTCTACTGAAAATACAAAAGATTAGCCAGGCATGGTGGCAGGCACCTGTAATCCCAGCTACTTGGGAGGCTGAGGCAGGAGAATCGCTTGAACCCAGGAGGTGGAGGTTGCAGTGAGCCGAGATCACACCACTGCACTCCAGCCTGGGGGACAGAGCAAGACTCCTTTTCGAAATTAATTAATGAATTAATTAAGAAATAAAAATGATTTCATAGTCTTTGTTTAAATATTTTGAAAGAATTTCAACTTGAGCTGGATGTCAGTAGGCAAGTCCTTTTTAAAATAAAGCTTCTCAAAGTAGTTAATCTAATTCATCTATCATATTCCAAAGATCTCCTAAGGTATGAAAACAAGCTCTGTCTATGCCAGTCGGTTGAAGCCTATGTAAATGGCCCGCAAAAAGTACTCAATGAGCTGAATGTGACCACATGAGACCTTAAAATACAGTCGGAAAGCCTAGCAGAAGACCTGCCTTATCTCAAGAACAACCCCAAGGAGGTGGGAGAAAGAAACCCATCAAGGGACTTCCCATCACCATTCAGCAAGGTCCCCAACCTCAAAGGATCTTTGCTACTGTGACTTTTGCGTTTCCTCTCCGCCAAGAAAGGAGCACTTTGCAGAGACAGTCCAGTGGGGACGCTGACTGTAGAAATGAACTCGGCCCCAGGGGCAGATCTAACCAAGCGGCTGGACTGCATGAGGCAATAGTAAGAGGAACTGGCTGAGCAAAACCTTAGGGAGGCCGAGGACTGATTCAACAAGCAGGTAGCTCAACCCTAATCCTAACCCAAACTTTAACCTGGCAAAGTGAGAGAAGATAGAAAGTCAGGCAGAGTAATTACAGCTTCTTTGATTTCACTGTACTTTGTTGATTTCGTGCTTGCAAAGTGCATCCCTGCAGACACAGATCTCCACGGATGCTGAAGCAGTTAGCTCGGCCAAGAGTGAGATAATGGAGCTGAAACGAGTTCTCCAGTCCCTGCACTATGAACTGCAGTCTGTCTTGGCCATGGTAGGTGGGAAAGGGGGGGCACTCACTCAATTTTCTTCTATAGTTTTAAAAAATAGCTTCGCAGACACGGAAGCATGCTGGCAAAACGTTGGCTTTTGTAAATAATAGTACCTATCTCATAAGGTTGTTATGAGAATTAAATGAGTCAATATTTATAAAATACTTCGAACGGTGCCTAATAGTGAGTAGGAACTGCTATATAGTTACAGTAGCACTCTCTGATTAATATTTGCTATCATTACTATTACTGGGTATTAATTATCAAAGGTAAATCTCTATTAAGTGGTTCATTTGGAGACACCCTCACCATACAAAATACATGTTTCAGAATTCATCATGTTGAATACCGAGGAGTTATTCTGACAAAGCTTCAATTTTCATGTGCGTTTGTAGCAAAGCTCCCTAGAAGGAACCCTGGCTGACACAGAAGTTGGCTACTTGGCTCAGCTGTCAGAAACTAAGATGCATATCAGCATCCTGAAGGAGCAGATCTGCCAGATCTGGGGCGAGACTGAATACCAGAACACAGAGTATGCGCAACTGCTGGACATCAAGACACACCCGGAGGTGGAGATCGAGACCTACCACCGCTTGCTCGGTGGAGAGGGAGGGTGAGTCACCAATACCTTGATTTTGTTGTTAAAATCACTTTCTTAAAAATGAAGAAACTTGATTCAGAGACTGAGATTTACAGTCTTAGCAAGTTTCAAATCAAGTACAATCTGAAAAGCTAGTAGAAAAAAGAAAAGAAAAAAACCACAACTTTCCATGGTATCACTCTAGATTTATTTAGAATGTAATTCACACTGGGCGTTAGTTCCTTTACAATTTTCCTGCAACTATATCTTGATAATTAAATGCAAATAATAAATTACATGTTATTCTTTAAAGTGTTCATTAGTTTTTTTGTATCTCCTAGATAACTGCAGTCATTTCGGAGACAGGGTCTCACTCTGTTGCCCACGCTAGAGTGCAGTGGTGTGATTACAGCTCACTGCAGCTTCTACCTCCTAGGCCCAAATGATCCTCCCACATCAGCCTCCTGAGTATGGGGACTACAAACGTGAACCACCATGCCCAGCTAATTTTTTTTTGTTTTTTTTTTGTTTTTTTTTTTGAGACGGAATCTCACTCTGTCACCAGGCTGGAGTGCAGTGGCGCAATCTCGGCTCACTGCAACCTCTTCCTCCCGTGTTCAAGTGATTCTCCTGCCTTAGCCTCCTGAGTAGCTGGGACTACAGGCACCCGCCACCACGCCTGGCTAATTTTTGTATTTTTAGTAGAGACAGAGTTTCACCATGTTGGCCAGGATGGTCTCGATCTCTTGACCTCATGATCCACCCACCTCGGCCTCCCAAAGTGCCGGGATTACAGGCGTGAGCCACCGTGTCCGGTCTAATTTTTTTTACTTTTGGTAGAGACATAGTCTTACCATGGTGCCCAGGCTGTTCTCAAACTCCCGGTCTCACGTAATCCTCCTGCCTCAGCCTCCCAAAGTGCTTGGATTGCAGACATGAGCCATTCACCCAGCATGCTATTAATAATGCCCAGCTGGCATTGTTAATAATGCCAGCATTCACATACAACTTTTGTGTGGGCATATGTTTCCATTTCTACTGGGTATATACCTTAGAGTGGAATGGCTGGGTCATATGTCAGCCCTGTATTTAACCTTTGAGGAACTGCCAGACTATTTTCCACAGTGGCTCCACTATTTTGCATTCCTACCAGCAGTGTAGGAGGGTTCCAACTTCTTCACATCCTCACCAACACTTGTTCCACTTAGAAAGAAAATATGTCTGCTTCTTTAGAGTTTTTGGCCAAAGAGAAGTAACTGATAACAACCATTTCTTTTATTTGTCAATAGTTCCGAGGCCAGAGAAGCTGCATCTCAAGGATCATTCTCTGTGGACTCCAGAGGAAGAATCAGCACAGCTCAGTCAAGGGGAAGAGTCGCTTTTTAAAGTAATACTTCCTGCTTACTTAGTGAGCATCCATCATGAATAAAGTGTGCTTTCCTTATCCCCAGAAATCTGGGCTACAATAATTCACTTTAAAGCATGACTTGTGAACCAACCTTTACATTTCCAGTTCTAAAACTCTCCCAGTTTCTCTTTTAGATTCACATAAAAGCAGAGGAACCAGGTTGGTGACGGATAATGACCAACTAATTTCATCTCAAGTCAACAATGTTTCTGATGTGAAATTCAAGAGTGAGATGCAGGCAGCTGAGTCCTGTCCCCAGGATGTAAATGATGACACCTAACAAAGGCGTGGTGAAGCACCGCAGCAAACCTACAGCCACAGAGCTGCAGCTACTCCTGTAATTGTTTTTCAGATTCTTTTGTCTTATTGGTTTGGTTTTGTCTTTAAATTGCAAAATGTGTTTTCCTTCTTAATCATTCTGTGTCAATAAACTTTCTTCCTGTTGCAAATCAACTACATGAATCTTTGTCCTTTTGTTTCACACTGACTTGTTTTATAACAGCTTTATTGAGATATAA